AAAGTTTGACGTTTTAAGTTTTATTTTCTTTAAAATTCAATGTTTTAAATAAAATGTTTTATCAAAGATAAAGTGGGCAGCCTAACCATCACTGTTGACACTATAAAAAATAACCACCTGCAAGGTGGCTACATCTGAAGTGCCTACAGTGCATAACTTAATATGTAAAATAATTTAAAACAGTGCATAATATCATTTTTTAAAGTGCCAACTTAAAGTCTTCAATTCATAAATGAACTAAAGATTTAAGTTGGGACAGGAGTTCTGGATTTGCAGTTAAGTTGGGACAGGAGTTCTGGATTCAAATCAGCATTTTAATCAAAATGAGCAGGGCACCTGCCGACCTAAACCCAGTAGATATTATGAAGTAACCTAAAGTAGTAGATATAATACAGTAATAAATATATACTTTCAAGAGCACAGTTTTGGATACAACATCAACAACATCATTTTAGAGTACTTAAGATAAGCGTCTTATCTTAGATAACATGCTATGTTAATATATGTTAAAAGATATCTATTATATACCTACTATCTTTTATATTTGTATTAATTTTATATTATTGAGATATAAAGCAAAATTCTAAATGCACTGCTTTAAGAAAATAAATAAATACTATTATAAAAGATTTTTTTTTTTAATATCTTACTTCTTGCTCTAACATTTTCATCCACTGTTTTGGATTGCTTACACCAGCTAAATAGGCAATTAAATCTAAAGCAGTCAGTCTTGTTTGTCGTCTGGAAGAAACAAAAATGAGAACAGGTTTTTCAGGAGAGTGAGTTTGTATTGCTTTAAAACAGGGTTTATTCATTGTAGCCATACGTGGACAGTAATGTTTTCCAGGATATCCAGCAATATGCACCTCTAAGGGTACTGGACGAACAGATGGTCGAAAATTAAACAAGCCTTCCTAAAAAAAGAAAATATAACCTCTATTAAAATTATTAAAACTTTTTTAATAATTTAAAATATTTATTTTTTTCTTAAAAGGAAATTGATACTTAGAGAGAATTTTAAAATAAAATCATAACCAACACCAGGGTGCAACAAATTGTTTTTTTTAAATAAACACTGACGTTCGTACATTTATTTATTGACAAATGTCTAAATTAAGAGGTATATGTCAAATAAGGGATTTTTATTTTTAAATAGTCTTTTTATTCAAATAACCTTTTATTAAACTATAAGAAAATTTTATTTTTAAATAAAAATTTTATTCTTGTTGATAAGTTATTGGATATATAAAAGATGGTTATTGAATTTAATCAATTTTATATTTTTTCAATACCATTTTTCACCTATTTACAAAGTGCGTGCAAATTAATGATAATTAAAGGCCATTTTCCACAAGACTAAAAAGTCGCGGAAAGAGAATATTTTTGTTATGACAAAACGCTGTTCTGATATATTATTAGCATATTATTTTTTGTAATAAATATAATAAATATAATTAATATATTATTATATGATTATATAAATATAATGATATTATTATAATAATAAATTAAACTATAATAAACAAAATAAATCTATATACTATATTAGATTATAAATATTTTGACAAAACTTAAAAATTCTTATTATTAACTCTATATTATTTGAAGCAAATACATTCATTTTAAGTAAAATTTTGGGCGCTTTTGTAAACGCATGTAAAAACCATGTTAAAACAATAATTTCTTCAAAAGTTTGAAAAAAACTTAATTTTATTATTTCTAATTGTTAAAATAATTGTTAATTTTTAAAGTTGTTGAAAATGCATTTTAAAATTTAAAGTATTTTTTAAAATATAAATCAACCCTCGGAATTAGGGTCGGCATTCGGCAATGCCAACCTAACTGCTGACCTAAATGTGTTTGAGGTTGGCAAAATATTGCCGACCTCGTTTCTATGTTTTATGGTATCAACTTATTTTTGCCGACTTAATGCCGACCTCTAAAAGATTGACATCGGCAAATTATTGCCGACCTCATTTTTCCTAATTCCGAGGGTTGATAAATATATGTTTTTAATAATAAATAAAAAACTATACATTGCATAATTATTTTGAAAAAAAATTGCTGAAGTAATGTGTTCATTTAAAAAAAATGTAACCAAACACCAATGTTTGCTTAAGTGAAAGTAAAGAAATGCGATGTTTATTTTTTAGTTGATTGTGTTCAGGGCGTACCCTGAACACAAGTAGATTGAAAGAAAATTATTTTTTTGTGCACACATACAGTATACAATATTATTATTAGTACTTCATTATTTCTTTTTACAATATATTTTATTTTTTATACATTGTAAAAACAAATATTTATTTGAAGGCATTTATAAAATATGGATCTTTAGTTATAAATGAATATATTTGCACTATTAATTAGTAAACTTATGACAATTATAGGTATCAACCTATACTGGCCGTAGATTTATATTTTCCTTGCAGGCATTGGATATTTAGATATCATTTCAATAATACTTTGAGATATTTAGAAAAAATGTGAACCAAATCACCATTTATCTAAACTTGATTGTCACAAACCAATGAATATTATTATTTTGAAAAAAAATTTTCTTAAAATGCTAATCACAACCCAATGAATATTAATACTTTGAAAATATTCTCTTGAAATTGTAAAATATTAAACTTTCTGAAAATAAAGTTTGACCATATTTAAAAAAAAAAAAAAAAAAAAAAAATACCCAGACAAATAAATATCATAAGAATATCAAGTTAACAATTTTTACTTTCAAGTTAACAATTTTTAAAAAATTATATAAAATATTTATATGAAAATGTTATATAAAAAAGCAATTATATAAAACTTAACTTTACAAACGTTAAAGCTAAAGTTTTGAAAAATTTAAGTTAAAACCTGTCCTATTCCTAACCAATCAGCTAAATCTTTTGCATTTGCAAGAGCTGTTGAAAGTCCGATAACTCGACACTTTTTAGATGTGTGACTTGATATAAAATTTGTTCTTGAAACTATTACTTCTAAAACAGGTCCTCGATCACCACCAAGTAAATGAATTTCATCAATAATAACTAGAGCAACATCTTTGACATACTGACGCGTCTGCCAACTTCGACTGATGCCATCCCATTTTTCAGGTGTTGTCACAATGACATCTGCTATACCTATGGATCTTATATCTGGAGTAACATCACCAGTCAGTTCTATAACTCTAACAAAATTTTTTTGTCTATTTTAAAATCAACAAAAAAAAACTTGATTTAACATTTTTAAAAAAAAACCTTGCTAAAAGATATAAGCTAAAACCCTGCTAAAAGATAGATTATATAGAATCCATCCATAAATAATAATTAATTAAGACTAAATAATTGAATATAAAAAAAATTGCAATTACTTTGATAATTTTAATTTATTACTTTGATAACTTATTTTGATAATAAAAAACTGTTAATAAATTAAAACTAATTTATATACCATACACAAATTAACATACAGAAATAAAAATTTATTAAATACACTACTTACTTTTTTTTTAATTTTTGTTCAATTCTCACTTTCCAATCTGCCATTCTTTCACTTACCAAAGCTTTGAGAGGTGCAATGTAAACAGACTTAAAAAATTTTTTATTTACACATTTATATATATATATATATATATATATATATATATATATATATATATATATATATATATATATATATATATATATATATATATATATATATATATATATATATACAGGGCCTATTCTAGGAAAAGTTGGACGGCAGTACCCCCTTGTTTTAGCAGACTTTAGCAGAAAATCGGCGTTATTTTTGCAAAAAAAAAAAACAAAAACAATATTTGCTGTGAAAATGTAAAAAAAAAAAAAATAGATCCTCAAATTTTAATTTGGGTGGCGCCCAAATACAGTCGACGCTGGCGAAAACAGTCTAGAATAGACCCTGATATATATATATATATATCATATATATATATATATATATATATATATATATATATATATATATATATATATATATATATATATATATATATATATATATATATATATCTACAGATTTAATAAAGATGAAACATTGCTGATGATATCATACTAAAATAGAACAGGCACCATCTACATACTATAAAAACAAATGTATGTATGTATGCATGATTTTAAAATGAGTTACAACTTTACCCTTCCTAATCCCCCTGGAATAAAAGTCTTTTACATCTAAATGTCCAAACCCAAACCTTTAGTGAATGTATGTACCATATGTAGCCACTGGAAAGAACAAAGCTTAAATTTACCAAATTGCGAACATTTTTTCAGGAAAAACAAAAATAGCAAAACTCTTACACAACTTTCACAACTATTATCTTTTAAATATCCTTTGTATGAAACAGACGTTAACCCAGGTAAAATATACTTATTACAAATGCAGGATAAATATACTTATCATTTTATGGTATTATTGTTATTGTTACTGTTGCCAAAACTAAAAAAAAAAAAAAAAAAAGATAAATAAAAGCGCATTACTACTTTAATCAACTTCAAAATAAACGAACTTTAAAGAAAAGCATTTTTCGGTGATAATTGTGGTCCGAAAAGTACAAGCGTTAATTTTAAAGCTAGCTTTGTTCGATCTGATGAACAAACAACTTAAGGTAATATTTGTTTGATTAGGTTATTTTGTGTCAACACCATTGTAAAACATGATGAAACCTTTTTCATTAAAACTTTTACTCAGGTATAAAAAATTAGCAATCGCCATTGCTTCAAATAATATACTTTCAAAATGTTTAAATGGCTTCGGCTCATCGCAATTCGCAAGTTGTGATCACTTAATTCGCCCCTTGAGGTAGCTACTTCAGAACCATGCAAGCTAAGTACACTAATACATTTGTGTATATAGGTGTGTGTGCATATTTACAAAGTCAGTTTAAGAATACAAGTTAATAGGTTAAAATAATTAGAATTACTTTAGCTTTTGGGTATTCTCTAAATACTCTAAACAATGCTAATTCAGCTGCTATTGTTTTACCGCTTCCAGTTGGAGCACCAAGAAGCACACTGCTATCAGTATAGTATAATGTATGAAATAATTGAGTTTGAATCGGATTGAAGTGTGAAAAACTATACAACATTTCCAATTGGGAATTGCGCAAAACCGTGACAGGCAATGGTTGAAGATTTAATAGTTCTGTATGAGGAGGATGAAGATCTGGCAAAATAAGATGTTTAAAACTTATGGCAACAACTGCTTCAGAATGCAACCAACGATCAGAGACAGCACGAACATAATACTGTGGTGGGAGAGGTTCAAATATAGGAATTGTAAATACTAAAGACTGCTCTTCCTTTTGTTTGACCTGAGAGTAATTTTATTAAGAACATATTATTGATAATGATTATAACAATACATATTATTAAAACAAAAGTATAAATATTAAAAAGTTTATAAAAATAATATAAAAAATAACATCGAAATATAAAAAATAGTATAAATAATAATAAAATATAAACAGTTATTAAATATTGTAAAATTAATTAACATAAAAAAAATAATAACAAAATATAAATTGTAATGTAATAAATAGTAAAAACATGAGCACAAAATAAAAAAAATAATTATAATATATTATTGTAAAAATAATTAATAATAATAAAAAAACTAAATATTGTAAAATTATATAAGAAAAAAACAAATAAACATTGTAAAACTATATGATATAAAAAGTTAAATATTGTAAAGTTATAAATCATACAGATTTTCTAGAGAGCAAAAAATATTCAGAGTGATAAATGTTATCAGTGTCTGGATCCTCCACCCATATCCACCATGGCTCTGCTACTTTGCCATGGTACTTATCATTCCATTCAAAATCAGGTATCACTTTTAAATTTAGCCGCAATACAGTACGAGTAATTGGATGTATAGATGCACCAAGCTGAACTCTAGGGATTTGGAAAGCGCATGACTTTAAAGTTGATCCCATGCTAACATGATTAACAATAAGACCTGTTAGAAAATTATCATAATTAAAATTCATTTTGAAAAATATAGTTGCAAAACAGTCATAAAAATAAACAAACATAAAGATTAGAACTTTATAGGATACTTTAGTAACAAACAATGAACAAAATAAAAGGGAAGGTCATCTGTCAATTATTTTATATTTAACAGTAGCAAACATTATAGATAAAGTGATCAAACATAACATTCATGATAATAAATATGAGCCATGTAAGCATAAACATTATTATTCTATTTTTATTACAATTATTATTATAACATGATTATAATAATAACTATAATAAATATTATGTTGACAACTCGTACCAACTTTAACATACAAACTTTTATTCAGGCAAAGTGCCGCAAGATGCAGCAATATTGCATTTATTGCAACACTGTTTAAAGACAGGCTTGGTCGGGAAGCGGGAGCGATCGCTCTCGAACACTGACCACGGAAATTATATCTAGTTGCGAAAAACTGGCCAGGTTTTTTAGTCGATTTGAGAACATTTAAGTTTATGTACGAAACAAAAATTTTTTGTTTTACGGACATACATGGAAACATAATAAACTTGAATGTTCCCAAAACATCTTTGCGCGAAAGAATAAAAAGAATATTCGCGAACACTAAAAACCCGCCAAATTAACGAAGAAACTAATTCTATTGGTTCAAAAAATACGCTGACTTAGCGAAATAAAGTTCTAGAGTATTCTGTTGAAATGTTTTAAAAAATGTTTTAGAAACGATTTGTTATGTTTTGAGATTTCTAGCATAAATTGTTTTAAGAATAAATATATTATTTGATTACAAGAATAAAAGTTTTAAATATATATTAAATTGTCAAAATGTTAAAAGTTTATTATAAATTATAGATTTTATTAGTATATTCTTATTTTTTATTTAAAAATATTTATTCTTTATGTAAATTTAATTTTGTTTATCTGATTTTTATTGTAATGTATCTTTTAAAGCAATTTTTACGATTTAAACAAAGACTTACAAAAACAATTGCGTTTTCAATGAAGTTATAATCGTTATAGTTAATAAAACTAATTACGTAACAAACATATAAGAAGTTTTATTTTCAACTAAAAATTTTTATTTAAAATATATTACTAAAAAATCAATTTAACCAATTATCATTTTCTCTCTCCCAAACTCTTGAATGAGCGTGATTTTATACATTTATTATAAGCTAAACAAGCATTATTTATTGGGCCTGGAAGTTTTGAACATATAGTTTACGGGAGTATTTCATTTGACAAAAGCGTTTATGTCCACTTTACCACAAGCCCTGTATATATATATATATATATATATATATATATATATATATATATATATATATATATATATATATATATACACACACACATACATATATATATATATATATACATATATATATATATACACATATATATATATATATATGTGTATATATATATATATATATATATATATATATATATATATATATATATATATATATAATATATATACATATATATAAATAATAAATATATATATATTAATAATATATATTTAATAATATCCTAATAATATATATACACCCTAATAAATATATATATATATATATATATATATATATATATATATATATATATATATATATATATATATATATATATATATATATATATATATATATATATTTATTAGGGTGTCCCAAAAATATATAGAAAAAACTTTTTTTTCTAAACTTCGTTTGAACACCCAAAATTCCTTGTCTATATAAAGGTAGAAGATAAATACATACTAAAAAATTGCACTTGGATAATTTTAAGTGCTCACTGTAAAATTCCTAATCTTCCTTTTTTAGCAAGAAAAGATCAAAATTGAATAACTGACAGTATAATTCTTTTATTCATAAATATATCTAATTATTATCATTACCTGACAATATAATTCTTTTATTCACAAATATCTCATTATATATTATCATTTAGAAGGCTTTAAATTTTCATAAGTTTGTTTTGAGTTACTTTCTTTGTTCCTTTTTTGTCTCCTCTCTCACTATCAATAGTATATTTTGACGCTGTTCTTATTTTTGAGAATATTTAAAAAAATTATTTATTAATCCAATTTTTTTTTCAGCGCAGTCATTAGTTACACTAAGTCCTTTGACAAAATTTTCAAAAACACTATATGATTCAGTTTTTGAGAAGTTGGGATGAGAACGAACCCAACCTTTGACCTGATTTACGATTCCTAGGCGTACAAATATAAGCCAGCTATCAGCTGTAACAAGCTCTGAAAGCTTGCTGTTTGGTAAAATTAAAACAGGATTAGGTTTTTCCATATTTATTTTTTCTAGCTCTGGAACTGGAAAGAAAATTAATGACCTCAAAATCTCATACTTGACAAACATTTCCAGGTGAGAGTGAACTAGTGAAAAAACATCTACTTTTGGAGAAAGATACAACGAATGTTTATGAAAACTTTTAATCAAAGCATTGCCAACATCGGCTTTAAATTCATTCTTGATAACATATGCTGCTTTAAATGCATTAAAATCATTAAGTACAGCATGTTGAGCGCTTCTAGACTTGAGGTACCATAGAAAATAAAAAACAGCAACAATAAAGGCACATGTTTCAATTTTATTTTTATCAGGTAAAAAGGTTATAGTAGATGTCATTTCTAGTGTAAGAATATACAAAGCATAAGCCATGAATCTTGCTTTGTGGCAAGCTCTAGGTTGATGAATTTTAAATTTATTAAGCTTATCAGATTAACGCCAAGATTAAAAAGCCATATATTTTACAAGGTGATTATAGTTATTTCTTGGAAAAATTTTATTCTCCTACAAACACTTCGCATAATCTTTAGCTGCTAGCGCCAAGATGTAAAGCCTGCTACCTATTTCTAGCTTGTTCCAATCAAATTTTTTCAGTTCTGGAGTTCTTGAATTTACAGATTCATGAGAAGTTTCCTAGTGTCTTTGGAAAGCTAAGTACATAGACTTGCTTGGACCCTTAGATTTAACTTTAGTGATAGCCTGTACTGCATGAGTCATATGGAGATCATATATGTGGTGATGACATATGAATCAAAACAAACACTTAAGAATTCTACTAATAATTATTATAGCTCCATTTAGTCTACCTGTATTACTTGATGTAGTATCAGTACATACTCCAATTATATTATCAGCTATTTCAAAATACTCTAAAATGTTTTGAATAATAATAGTGATCTTTTCCTTTATTGTTCTTTACAGCTATATTTCTAAGTAGACAATCATCTTTTGTAATAAATTCAGGACTGGTAACATATATTGCAACCCTTTCCTTTTTAACTTTAATTTTTAACTTTTCCTCTATTTCTTTTACCAACTTACTGTCAAAGTGCAAATCAAATTCTTTCCCAACTTTCTTCATAACGGCTTGATCTGATTGTGGCTCCTAGATTAAAAAGATTTTTTTTCTCGTTATAATCGTTATTTTTTATTTTATTATAAATATTTTGAATGTAAAAAAATTTTACCTAAATCTTCAATATAATTGAATCTACTTCTAGCTATTGAGCCTCTAAATATATTTAAATCATGAACATTTCCCCCTAAAGCTTTGATAACAGCTACTAGAAACATTGTTTGTGAGCGAATGCTAATTCCACATCTAACACTAACAGGTGTTGTAGCTAATAGAAGCTTGTCTCTGTCGAACTCTGTTGCTATTTCTGAACAGCCAGACTTAAATGTTTTTTGACGCTTTAACTTTTTGTGTTGGAAGCTGATTTTCATTGCTTTCTGGAAAATCGAAATCACTATCACTAGCAACTGATGACTGGTGAGTCGCATAACCTAAGTAACAAAAAGCGTTAATGACTTAAGAAAATGAATAAAAGTCTTTTTTTTCATAAAAATATTTTGGAATAAAAGATTAAGATCTAATTTACCTGATGCCAAAAACAAAAAACAAAAAAAAAGGTTTCATATTAACAATTTTTCTTAGGCAGCATATCTCCATATTTTCATAACAGAAATCTTTGTCAAGGCAAACCATATCCCTACTCCTGCTCTTTGTTTTGCATTAAAAATATTTTCTTGGCTAGACTTGAACCTTTTACTTTTTTCTGTAATAACATACTGATAATATTGTAGAACTGTTCCATTTTTTGGAAGTTGATGTTGAGGAAAAACATAAATCGGACTTCTGAGAAGGTAAAGCGTTGTTGTGGGTTTAAATTAACATTGTAGTTTGACTTTTTTATTTTAGTTATCTTTCTTTTCCCCATTTGTGATAAGAATTTGTTATAAGTATTTATTTTTTTACATTTTTTAAAAACTAAATTACGCAAAAGATTCTTTTGTAACAATTTGATTAGTTGCTTTTTTATCAGAAAAAAATGATTGGTTTAAGTTGCTTTTTCATCAGAAAAAAATGATTGGTTTAAGTTTGTTTAGGTTTTCTAAAAACGTAATCAAGATTGCCACTTTCAAAGTTTATATATTTAAAAGTCGATATTTTAAAGTCAAATAAGATAAAGTTGATATATTGGTATATAATAATTTAAAAATACCTGTTGGTCCAAAAAAAAAAAAATATTGATGTTTTAAAAACACATTAATATATATATTTTTTTAAATTTCCTAAAATTTGAAACAATGATCAAGAAAAGTTTGTTAATATACTACTAGTTAATCAGTTACCACCCATATTCTAATACAGTTTAAAAAAAAAAAGATTACAGATGTTTTTTAAATTATGAAAAATAACAGCTATTAGAATTGTTAATAGAGTAAGTTTTCATTTAGATGCAGCCGATATATTTAAGTTAAGAAAAACTCAGAACACTTAATAACATCCAATTTTTAATTTCTACAGTAAGCACTTAGAGTGGTCTTATAAATCTTTTTTCAATACTAGCGGTCTTCTATAAGTATATAGACAAAGAATTTGATGTGTACAATTTTTTTTTTTCATATTTTTGGGACACCCTAATATGAATATATATATATATATATATATATATATATATATATATATATATATATATATATATATATATATATATATATATATATATATATATATATATATATATATATATATATATATATATATGTATATATATATATATATGTATATATATATATATATATATATATATATATATATATATATATATATATATATATATATATATATATATATATATATTGTTATTCACCTCCTCAAGGCCGAGAAGGCCACTACAGACGAGGAGGCTACTTAATAGTGGTTATAACCCTCTCTCAACTCTATAACTCTAAAACACGAACCTTGACGAACAAGGCCGCTGTGTGGAGAAATAATGGTAAAAAACTTGCTTATGAAGCGAGTGTTTTACCACTACACCACTACCGCATATATATATATATATATATATATATATATATATATATATATATATATATATATATATATATATATATATATATATATATATATATATATATATATATATATATATATATATATATATATATATATATATATATATATATATACATATATATATATATATATATATATATATATATATATATATATATATATATATATATATATATATATATATATATATATATATATATATATATATATATATATATATATATGTATATATATAAATTCCTTAAATAATAATTTGGAATTACTTATGTTGTTTGAACAAAGAATGAATTATAAAAGTTATAAGTGAGTTATAAAAGTAATAATATTGTAGTGTTAGAACTTTTGTAATGCAGTTAGTGACTAGAATGTTATTACTTTTGTAGTCGTAAATTTATTGTTTTGTTTTTTATAACTTTTTTGCTAATAAGTTTATATGCCTCTTGAAAACAAAGTACACGGTTTTGCAGAAACTAAATTTTGAAGACCAGATATTTTTCCAGACATCGAAAATTCAACCCTATATATATTTACAGCCATCGTAACTAGGGGCAACATAAAATCTCTGACTATAATAACTGCCGACCTCAAAGTGTTTGAGGTTGGCAAAAATTGCTGATCTCGTTTCTATGTTATACGGTAACTCCTTTGTGTCAAATTTTTTTGCCTACTTAATGCCAACTTTTAACAGTTTAAGGTTGGCAATTTATTTCCGACCTTATTTTTCCTAATTCCAAGGATAATATATATATATACATATATATATATATATTAATATATATATATTATTATATATATTAATATATATATTAATATATATATTAATATATATATTAATATATATATATATATATATATATATATATATATATATATATATATATATATATATATATATATATATATATATATATATATATATATATATATATATATATATATATATATATATATATATAAATTAGTAGAAAATCACTTAGCAAAATTTTTTTTCATTTAACACTGTGTTTCATCAATAAAGACTCATCAGAAATTTCTGATGAGTCTTTATTGATGAAACATAGTGTTAAATGAGAAAAAATTTTGCTAAGTGATTTTCTACTAATTTGTAATTGCTCTGTTCTTTTAAGAACATTGAGCACTCTTTTTGTAGAATACATTTTAAATTGTTTTAAACCTTATTGAAAATAAAAAATTGTTTTGTTTTTATAAACGATGACATTCTACGACTACGAAAGTCTCTTTAACGAATTTAAATATAAGAATGATTAAAGTTAATGCATTTAAAAAGTTAAACAAAATTTCATTAAAAAAAAAAAAGTTTTAGAAAACCGTTACAATTTAATAAGTTTAATCTTAAATGCTTTTATATTATCAAAATGCTTTTATATTATCGAAACGCTTTTAATGAAGTAAAAAAAAAAACACTTCTAATTAATTTAAAAAAAAATATTAATAAAATGTTTTTTCTATTTCATTTATATAACTACGTATTTTTTATGAGAAATGTTTAACTTTTGAACATATTAAATAAATAAAAAATATATAAAAAAATGTTGAAACAAAGATTGAAATGGTTTTTTAATGCGTGAATTAAATAGAGTAAGCATTTTAGTTTGACGAGTTTTGTTTTAGTTGCGTTATATATATATTTATTTTTTTGTGTTTTTGCTTTAACTAAATATTTTTTTTATTTTCTCTTTTGTTAAGATTTATTTAAAAAAAAATTTTTTTCTTTCAGATAAGTTTAGGTAATTTTTTGTAGCGCATTTTTAAATTTTAAAAATATGCCGTGGTCATATCGTTAAAACATTGTTTTTTGCGTGGTCATATAAAGGCGTGAAATCGCACATCTTCCTGTGAAAGCCTGATATATATATATATATATATATATATATATATATATATATATATATATATATATATATATATATATATTCCTATAGTAAAGGTCTTAAACTTATTATTTGTGGTAAAAAAAAAAAAAAAAAAGAACATATTTGCAGCTTGCACCTTAATGTGTTCTATATGATAAAACAGCACTGGATTTAAAAGTATTTGGAATGAAAAGTATTTTTAGTGGTGCATCAAGACCCTTGAACATTTAATGTGTCCCTAATATTGATAAAAAAATTTCTCAAAAGTATGTCTTGTTGGGTCTCAAAAGAAGCGAAATTATATAAAAACTTTAAAAATAATAATTTGATAAAAAAAATTGATAAAAAAAAGTTGGTACAAATTTTATACTTTTAAATTTTAGTTTAAAAATATATATATGTTAATATATATATATATATATTATATATATATATATATATATATATATATATATATATATATATACGTATATAGGTGTGTGATGAATAAAATCGCCCAGCATGATATTTCGTGCTTGTAAAAATGAAACACATTATTAACGAGTATAATTATGCGTGTTCGGCATAAAGTCTTCGAGAGCGATATTCAGGATATAAAAATATATTCATAATATATTTTTATAAAATTTTGCTTCTTTTGAGTACCAAGTGGACATATTTTTAAATAATTTTTTTTTAATAATAATAGGGACCTGTCAAATGTTTAGTGGCTTTGAGGGACCTTTAGGGCAAATAATAAAATTTAGTAAAAAATATTTTTGAACCACAATATGATAGTTGAATGGGAAAAACTTCAATTAGCTATGTTCTGAAAACAAATTAGCATACTGAACAGCCCTAATATATATATATATATATATATATATATATATATATATATATATATATATATATATATATATATATATATATATATATATATATATATATATATATATATATATATATATATACATATATATATATATATATATATATATATATATATATATATATATATATATATATATATATATATACAAATATAATATTTAAATAACTTATATACTGTTATATATTTGTAGAAATGCATTTGTTACAACCAGTAAAAACCATGTCATGAAGACATGAAACAAGTGACGTTACTTTTTTTCTTTAGTTGTTTGTGAGCACGCTTCCTAAAGTTTCAATAAACAATAGACACCAGCGATTTTTAACTTTTTTTTAGAAAAATCTATTGCTTCAAGCAGGAGTAACTTAAATAGACCATAAAACTATTGTGCAAAATTTAAAAGTTCCAGGTCTTCTCGATTATAACTTACTTTAATTTAAATTTTTTACATATAATTTGCTATGAAACTTGGACGGGTTACAATTAATTAATTTCTAACACGAGTGTTGGTGTAAAACATTTTTCAGCATTTTTTTTATATTTAATGAAACGTAAATAATTTATTTTTTAATTTTTATTATGTTTTAGGCATGTCTGGGTCTTGTAAAAAAAGGTCACTTAACATAAAAGCCATACAATTAAATAAACTTATGTAAATAAAACATTTATAAAAAAAACAATTTTGTAAACGTTGTGACTTATTTGGCTTTTTAAAGATACTTAAAAACAACAATAAAATCATATTTTCTTGTTTTTAAACTAAAAAAAAAAAAATTTGCTTTTTTGCTTGAAAACTTTAATTTAGCTCAAAATAAGATAGCTTCAGTTGAAAAGCTTTAATTTTTTTTTTTTTTTTTACTAATTTACTAATTTTTAAAGTCGCATTTCTTTCCAATTCTACAAAAAACGGCATTTTAAAAGTGGTTTATTCAGGCTTTCACAGGAAGGCGTGCGATCGCACGCCTTTATATAACCAGGCAAATTACATTTTGCTTTGATGATTTGACCGCAGCTAATTCAAAAAACATTTTAAAAACGCGCTAAATGAAAAATATTCTGAAAAAGTGAAATTAATTACATCAAAACATCTTAACAAATGTTTTTATATTAGCGAAACGCTTTTTAAATAAAGTAACAATTTAGTGTAACAATTTAATTAATTTATATTTTTTTTAAATATTATAATTTATAAATTGTTCAAGTGTGCATTTTTATAATACATGTTATTAAAAAATAAAAAATTGTTTTGATTTTATAAACGATGACATTCTAAGACTATTAGAAAGCCGTTAGAATTAAATAAGTTTGATCTTAAATGCTTTTATATTATTTAAACGCTTTTCAATGAAGTAACAAAGCATTTCTAATTAATTTTAAAATAAATATTAATAAACTGTTGTTGTTTTTATTTATATAATTGTGTATTTTTTATGAGAAATGTTTATCTTTTGAAATATTAAATAATAATAATAAAAAAAGTACAAATGTTAAAACAAAGTGTAAATTAAATAGACTAAGCATTTTAGTTTAATGAGTTTTGTTTTAGTTGGGTTATATATATATATATTTATTTTTTTGTGTTTTTCCTTTAACTAAGTATTTTTTTTTCTTTTCTCTTTCATTAAGATTTTTTTTCTTTTCACAATTTTTTTTTTTTAGATAAGTTTAGGTAAGTTTTTGTAGCGCATTTTTAAATTTTGAAAATATGCCAAAAGACATGGTCAAATTGTTAAAACATATTATTTTTTGTGTGGTCATATAAAGACGTGCGATCACTCGCCTTCCTGTGAAATCCTGTTTATTTATGTTGATTTTTCAAACTTATTTTTAAAATAAAATTTTTTATTTTTGAGTTAAATCTTATGCTTTTATAAATTATCTATCTTTGTTTAAAATGGAAAAACCACAGATGTCCAAAATGAGTGTCTTGTTTTCAAAAGAACACTGTGAATAAATAATTCTTGTATTTAGCACAAAAACTGCATTTTTATATTGTGTAAGGACTAAAATGTCATAATAATATCTAATGTCACTAAACTCTAAATAAACTCTAATAAGATATCTAATGTCACTAAACTCTAAATTTCATTTTTCTCAAAATGAAAAAATGTGACATCTGTGGTTTTACCCGTGTGGTCTACATATGTACACACACACACACACACACACACACACACACACACACACACACACACACACACATATATAGATAGATAGATAGAGAGAGAGAAGCTAGTTAAGTTGAAACAAATAAGCAAATACATATATTATGATAAAATCATTCAATTATTAATTATACCATAAAAATATAATTAATTCATAATTATGTTGAATTTTTAGTTTTTTCAATTAGGTTTAATTATTATGCCCTTATCATTGATTGCCATCAACAAATTTTGTAAAAAAACTTATTTTTGTTAAAGGTTGTAAATGTCCAGCATTTACACCATAAGTCGTAATGATGGTTGCCACAATGCAAAAAGTTGACATTAAATGTACAACTTATTTTTTTCTATATTTATTATTTTCCAATTGAATTTAATTAAGTTTATTGCAAAAAAATTATAAAAAAGTATTAAAAAGTATTATATACCAATATTACTTTTTAAAATTTTTTAACTTTTAAAATTTTTTAAATGTTAAAATGTCTAGCATTATAAAAAAAAATTACCAATTTCCTTTGCATCCATTTCTCTCATCATATCTACTGTTAGTTTTTTTTGTTCTAATTTTACAAGCAACTCAAATTTAATCCCTTCTAATTGCTTGAATGGATGCTCCCATTCCCACAGTTGTTTTTCAACAACTTTAGAAAGTGTCAGCAAACGTTTTGCCATTATAGCCCAATTGTTTTGTAATGATATCTCAAATAGAGCTCTCACTATCCGAGTAGCATTCTAAACAGAAAAAATCTGAAGTTTATTTAAAAAAGAATTATTACAAATAATTAAATAAAATAAATTTTTATAATTGATATATATATATATATATATATATATATATATATATATATATACACACACATATATATATATATACACACATATATATATATATATATATATATATATATATATATATATATATATATATATATATATATATATATATATACATAGAGAGAGAGAGTGAGATAGGATTCAACTGGATAAACTACCAAAAAAGCCAAAGCTTACAACTAAAAAATATTTTGTGTCACTGCATTTTTTTCAAGATGTCTAGAATAAGGTAAACTTTCTTTTTGCCAGATTTTTAATTCAAGACACTTACGCAAGTATTATTTTAGTAATACTAGTATACAAGATGGTATGACATTGATTAATATAATATGGGGTAATATTAATGGGGCAGAATAGCTTTAAAACTAGACAAAATTAATTTTTTGTTTTGTTTTGGATTAAGTTTAATAATTATTTTAAGGACACTTATTAGACTTAAGAAAAGTTAATCCATAGTTTTTTAAACATTTATTTACAATTGTCAGACCTTTTTTCATATATTTAGAGTAAAGTTTTTTTAAAAACCGGGAAGTGATAATTTAAAAAAGAAAAAAATCAAAAGCTTGCATGAATAAATAATACTAAAACGTATTCTACTAAAATAAATTATAGTAATTCGAATTTAATGTAAAAGTCACTCAAAAAAAGTTACTCAAAACCTTGATAAGTTTTATTCATTTAAATTTTCCAAAAAAAATCTTACAAAAAAAAAAAAAAAAGAACGACATTAGTTCAAGCATTCATGACCTGTTTTTTTTACCTAATTTAACTTTAGTGTGACTTGCGGTCAAATGCGCATTTTTAAACAGCTGTTTCATCATAATTTCAATAGGAATTAATATGTTTATATAAGTTTTATACTATGGTGAGAAATTAAAAGAAAACATAATAAAAAACAAATTTTTCGCCTGATAAATCATGGTTTACAAGATTTTTTAAAGGTCATTATTTTTTAAAGTCTGATTACACTTAAAGTTTTTTCTTCTTAAAACAACTTGGATTAATGTTTAAAATTAAGTTGAAAAAGTAATTTTTTTAAGACATAAATTAGCTATTAAGTTTTAATTTATATGTGTATTTGAGTTAATTGAGTTGATAGTTAATTACACAGAGTAATTGAGTTATTGCTGTTTTTTATTACAATTTTTTTCAAGACAGTATTCTCCTATCCATTTTGATTTGAAGTTAAGCTCTACAAATTGTGGATTTAAAGCATTGTTCATGGTTGGCGCCAACTTAATCATTTTAGCATTTGAAATACCTCAAAATTTTTTCCTTGTAATTTAAGGCTCTATGAACAGCTGTTTAACACTTTATCTTGAAGTCCCTTTAATAAAAAAATTTGTTTAAAATGAAAAGATATTACCAATTTATTCATTAAAGAAACTATTAAACTATTATATATATGCTATTAGATTACTATGGAAACTACATAATCAATCTTTCGTTTGATATTTAATTTTAACCAGGCGATTAGAATTAGTTAAAATATTATTTTATAAAAAATGATTTTAATTGAAAGATTAACATTTTTTAATTGAAACATTTTTTTGCATTAAAAGGAAAATTTGAACATGTAAACAATTCCACCACTCCACAGTGGGACAAAATCGAGTTGTAGTTTTTTTTTAAAATCAGAATTGCTATATTTATAAATAAAATGCATAAATAAAGTATTAAACATGTAAATATATAATATATAAAAAAAAAAATTAAAAAAATTAAAATTTGGTGAAAAATACAAAATATTTTTAATGGACAAGGCAACTTTTATCAGTGTAAACATCAAAAATATTACTAGCATTTGCATTTATTGATATCTTACCCAAATTTTTCTTTGAAAAATTTGAAAAAGTATTATACATCAATACTGATTTCTTTGTAGTGTTGTATTCAGCAATCAATCTAACTTCAAGATTTCAAATTTTCAAGCTCGTGGAATTCATAAATATTCTTATATACCCCAGTATGACACTTATATACCCCAGTATGACTTATACTCACTTATAAACAGTATTCTACACAGGGACAAATGAGAAATTTGTAGAGGTAAAGAAAGGAATCAGGAGCAAGAAAATGGTGAGCACAATAAAGAGAAGTAACCTTAGCAGTAACTATGCAATCGATTTGTATTGATGCAACATTCTTGTAATCGATTGTATATACAGTTTCCATGAGAGGTCAGTAGTGAATGATAATCTAAAAAGATGTAAAGTAGAGGACTCAGTGAGAGGGCTCCTAATAACCGATAAAGAAATGTCAACATAATGTGATAGCCATTTCCATTAAAAAACTGAGTTTTTTTGAAGTTAAAATATACAAACCACTGCAAGCCTTAAAAGCTGCTGCATAAAAGAGATCAGATTCAAGATTAGCTACCTGCTCTAAGCAATCAAAACGAGAGGACTTTTTTTCAAGACAGGAGTATAAAGTTGAGTCGTCAGCAAATAGAGCCACTTTAGATGTCAGGAAGATGATAAATGTAGATAAGAAATAACAGAGGGCCAAGGATAAAACCTGAAAAGATAGAAAAATAGTGTTGATTGTCAGAAAATAAGTTATTAGACTCAAAATGAGATGTTAGAAATTTGTTGATTAAAAATTCAAAGGCTTTGCTAAGAGATAAGTCTGATCAGATGATAGTTAGACGGGTCAGAGTGTTCTTTGGATTTTTTAAAATGGAACCACAGATGCCATTTTACACCAAGCAGGAAAACAATAATCATTCAAGCATTTGTTAAATAGTTTGATGAGAATTGAAGAGAGTTCTGGAAAAACACATCTAAAGTGAAGAGAGTTCTGGAGAACACATCTAAAGTGGCTCTATTTGCTGACATAAGACTATTACAGGAATGTTGTCTGGACCACAAACTGTAGAAGAGTTTAATTGAGAAATGGCAATGAAAGTCAGAGTGAAGTCTAAATATAGCTAGTTTTTTTAAAACCACAATTAATGTGTTTTTTAGAAACCATTGAATTTATTTAATTTCATTGATTATTTTAATGATTTTAAAGTGTCTTAAATTATCAACTTTAATCAAGATTAGCCAGCAGCTATATATGTATGTATGTATATATATATATATATACATATATATATATATATATATATATATATATATATATATATATATATATATATATATATAGTTTAATTTTTACCAATTGGGACAACATTTCTAGCTTGAGTTGGTTTTCTGGTTTAAAATTTAAAAAATTAAAAAATGGTTTCTTTATATATAAATAAAACATACCTGAGCGACATAAGACATATCAGATATCAATGAAAAACTTTCTAGCTGTGCCTTAGATACATATGTCTGCAATAATATATTTACTTTTCCATACTCTGTATCTGTGCCACCTTTGACTGGAGTGACACAAGATTCATTTAAATGTTCCTCTAATTCTATAACTTCATCTTCACGAACCTAAATAATTTTTAGATTATTTATACTTGATTATTTCCAAATTTAAATATTATTCAAAAATTAAAATATTTTACTTTGATTTGATTAAATTCATGAGCTTTGGAAACAACAGAAAATATTTCTCCAACATCCATAACAGGTTTGAAAAATTCATTAATTACCTAAACACATTTATTTTTTAATAAAATTATTCTCAATTTTAAAACTTAAAAAGTTACAGAATCTAAACAAAGAAGTACAGTGCCTATGAGTTAAATGAAAACCACCATACCTTATGAAGTACCATAATCACAAAAGAAAAGAAAAACTATTCAAACTAAGATAAGTAAAACACAGAAGGCCTTTCATATAAAATCTTTGGCTGTGTATGATGGTATATATATATATATATATATATATATATATATATATATATATATATATATATATATATATATATATATATATATATATATATATATATATATATTCTCTTTGTTAACAGTCATATATATATATATAAAAATATATATATAAATTTATATATATATATTAAAAAAAAAAAAAAATTAGAAAAACAAAACAAGAAAATTACAAATAATACAAAGTACAATCAAATACCTCAATAGTGGGGAAATCAATATAGTAATTACTAGCAGTTCGTCCAAGGTTTGTTGGGTATAAAAAGTTAGTGCGCTCATCAAATCTAATCATTTTTGCTTTATCAAGTTTTCTTGCACTAATTTTTATAAGATCGAGACGATGCTTTTCAAGCAAAGGATCTTCCTAAAAAAAAACACACACAAATTAAAAAAAAAGTTAATTATCTTTTAAAAAAACAAAACATTTAAGGTAGTGCATACTTCTTTTTCTCTATAATTTATACCATAAACTAGAGGATTGATACGCATGCGAACATACATATAAGTATAGCTTAGCCATTTAACTGCTTCATCTACTGTTGTCACAGTCCCAAGTGAAACCTTAAAAATTAAAAAAAAATTTTTTTTTATGATTTTATAATAGAAATTGTAAAATTAAAAAAAAAAAATTTTACAATTGAAAAACTTTATTAAATTAATGATAATTATAATAAATTATAATAATAAATAATAATTTTAAATCTTGTTTTATTTTTTAAAGAAATTCACACTCTCATTCATAAATAATATACAAAAGAGCCATACAAGCAGAAACTAAATAACAAAGGACATGCTAACAAAAACTAATCTAGAGTCATACTAACAAAGACTAACTAAGGAATATATTAACAAAAATTAAACAAAACAATTAAAAAACAGGGGTCATACTAACAAAAACTAATCAAGGGTTATACTAAAAAAAAAACTAAAGATACTTAAATCAGATGTGGAACCCAAAATCCTATTTTAAGGACTAAATAATATTTTTTATAATATCTAACAACTAACAAAGTAATAAATATAAGTAATAAATAACATCTAATGCTAACTAACAAAGTGCAAATATTAAAATAACAGACATTAAATCATTTTTTCCAATTTGAATGATCTTGAACCAATACTTTTAATGTCAAACACAGACTTTGACAAATAAAGATATTTATTTTGTTCTTAACCGGCAAGGGATAAATAAAAAGGACCAAACCTATTCTTTTTATCCCTTAGCCAATATTGTTATCATTGGTGACTATCAATGGTCATCAGACTGAATGACTTGGCTCTAATATCACTAAACCTGCTTGCTTTCAAGCTCAAAGTCTTTCTTAATCTCGTATTCATTTATTTAATTTTGTGACTTTTTTCCAGACAACACTAATGACTCCATGATTTGTGTCAATCTGCGACCCTAACTTGTGCTCAGATTTTTTTTGTTCTACATTTGGTCTTTTCAGATTATGCTATTACAATCACTAAAAAAATTATTACTATCACTATTATCTTAAAAATGTTTTTTCAGATTATACTATCACTAAAACTATTATCTTATACTTCTTCATCTGATTATTATCCCTATTATCTCATTTTACTATTATCATAAAGTAGACTGAAACTCACTTAGTGATTTTCTTTGTAATGGTCTATAAGATGATGCCTTTTGTCTCTATGCTGAAACTTGAGCCTTTTTTATAATGTCCTGATCCCGGGCAGGCATAAAAACCTATTGATAAGGCTTTTTTTTTTAAGCTTTCTTATAAGCTTGCCTCATAATGTGTATCTAAGAAACTTTTTCAAAATTATTAAATCAGTCGTTTCTAATCATAGTACTAAAGTTGTTATTTTTGGACAACACTCTTCTTCATTTCCAGTAACTTCTGAGGTATCACAAGGTTCCATCCTTGGTCTTGTGATGTTCTTCATCTCTGTTAACAGCCTTCTCTATAACCTTACCTCTAAAGTAACTCTATTTGCTGATTATGTAACTATATACTCCAGTCTTAAAAAAAACAACATCACTTTTGTTTGCTTTGAACATTGATCTTAGATATGATCTCTCTTCTGTAAAAACTTGGGCTATGCTGCAGCTGATGAGTTTTAACACAAACAAAAGTTATTTACTGTTAAAATAGTTGATATCCCTATATTGATGAATGCCAACATTCTTACTGAGTCCTCTACTATACTTCTGCTCAAATTTTCTACAGGAGTATATTTAGATAAACATATTCTTTTTTTAATTGCTTTTTCCAAATAGTTTTTTAAGAGAAGAAAAAAAAAGAAAAAAAGCAAAGAACAAGAACAACAACAACAAAAAAAATGCTGCCCCAAACCAAACCCTTATTTGATGTAGTTACACTCCCTTGCATGTTCTCCCCAGATAGCCAATCAATATATATACTGAAGCCTTTATAGCTCCCTATTTCACTATGACATCAAATTGTTTAACTATATATATACATATATATATATATATATATATATATATATATATATATATATATATATATATATATATATATATATATATATATATATATATATATATATACATAGACTTACTAAAGCGTATTTTTATAAGCATTTGCTCACTTTTTTTGCTTACCTTAATCCAATCACAGCTTTTTTAGAAAAAGAAGAGAAAAACAAAGAATAATGAATGAAACAATTGCTGCCCCATCCCAAACCCTCAGTCGATGTAGGAACACTTCACTGCGAGTCAGGCTATTTGTCAGTCGATGTATGTACTGAAGCCCCCAGCAGCAGGCTATTTCAGTATGACATAAGATTGCTTATCTTAGTACGCAATACTATTTGTATGTATGTATATATATATATATATATATATATATATACACATATATGTAATAAAAAGTATACGATATATAAAAATGTATAAAAAGATACCTCAGCATTTAAATTGTCAGTAAGGCTATTTACAAATTGACTTTCAATTGGTGTTTGTTGTGTAAGCAACTGCAAATAATGTGAAAGCTTATCATATTTCGAAATGATAATTCCATGCCCACTACTATCATATTGAGGACGACCAGCTCTTCCAAATATTTGTAAAACATCAAGAATACCAATATCCACAAAAGAACCTTTTTGTGCGTCATAAAGTTCAGTTCCCTTAATATTTATTTTATTATATATAAAAATTTTATTTTATTATATGTATGTGTGTATGTGTGTGTGCGTGTATATATATATATATATATATATATATATATATATATATATATATATATATATATATATATATATATATATATATATATATATAAGATAAACATATATATAAAATTTAAACTACCTTTATTATAACTGCATGAGCTGGAAGATTTACTCCCCATGCTAAAGTTGCAGTGCATACAAGCACTTTGATAAAACCTTTAGAAAACAATTCTTCAACTGTATTTCTGTCTTGCCGCAACATTCCTGCATGGTGGATGCCAAAGCCATCCGGAAACATCTCTTTTAACTGCTTGTTTCTAGAACGCATAACCTTAAATTCAAATTTAAAATTTAAATTTAATTTTGTAACAAAAATCGAAAAGAAAAAATATACTATAAACAAAATTGTTTACTTTTTTTTCCATTATTGAATATTGAGCATTTTTATCTGGTTCAAAATCTGCTATTTCACCTTCATTCTTTGCCATTTCACGCAAAGTCATTGCAGTCTTCACTGTAGCGTTTCTTGCATGAACAAAAACCATGACCTTGAAAACAAAATTATTATAATAGATTTAATAATAATTATTATAATAGATTTTTTGTTTTATGTTTTTTATTTTTAAAGCTTACCTGCTTTCCATTGCGCACATTTTCATGAACCTTTTTGTAGCAAACTTCATTTAAATCTTTAGTAAACTGTAAAAAACCTGTTGCATGTATCCCTATGAATGTTTGTCGGAGAGGAACTGGACGAAAGCGACCATCAAAATAAAATAAACCCTTTAAAGGATTTACATTCAAAAACTTGGCAACATCTGTATAGTTTGGCAAAGTAGCAGATAATCCAACAATGCGTATCATACTCTGCGTGGACTCAACCTTAAAAATATATTTATACAATATGTAGTATATAAAATTTGAAAGTATTTTGTTCTCAAAACTTATGTAACAGTCGAAGCAATCAAAAATAATCAAGAGCCAATCAATGGGTCAAGGAAATTAAAAAGAGTACATTATTACTCAGATCTGGCATAAAAAAACTTAACACTTTAGCGAACACATTAAAAGTAGCATATAACATTTTTTTCTAAATTAAAAAAGTAACATACATAATAAATATAGAGAAAAAATAAAGCATTGGAATTGATTGGTGTATTTAAAATTGGAAGTAATATGACAAGAGATGCATAGGTTTGGTGATAAAATGTGTAGGGTTGTTTAATCAAAAATCAGTGGTTTTACTGCTTATGCACTTTATGGATGCCCCCTCAGCAAAAATTTGATAAGTGATATATTGTTTTTTGTATGCAAACTATGGTAGTGGGAGTTCGATTTTGTCATCCAATAGCAAATTTTTAATTTTGTTTTCATAGTCACTCCTGTAAAAAATAATGATACTGCCTCTTTTATCATTTTTTTAAATGGTGATAAGGTGATAAGGCTATTTGATTTCAATTTTTGAAGCCTTTTCTCTGATTTCGTCAGGTTATAAAACTTAGTTTGTCTGTTGTCAAGTAGTGTGGATGTATTTTTATAGTTTCAAAAAAAAAGATTGCAAGAGTTGCATTGTTATGAGGCAAGTAATTTAATTCCGATTGGTGTTTTCTTTCTTGTGGAGCAGTGATATTAGGATTGTTACCATTAAAAGGGAACTAATAACAAACAAACATTAAATAATTATAGTTATTAAATAATTAAGTAACAAACATTAAATAATTATAGTTAAGATTTAAGAATAATAACTTTTAGTAAATCTATTAAATACTTCTACTAAATATATAACTTCTAATAAATATATAACTTCTATTAAATATATATAATGTTAACACCTGCTCAAGCTTGTAGACATTCGAATAACTATGGATTTTAGGTTTACTTATAAACTTACTTCTGACCAATAACATTTCAACAAAACAAAAGTACCAAGAGTAACATATGTAATAAATCATGATGTAAGTTGTGAATTAAAATTTATTGCAAATGAAAAAAAAAGAAAAAAAGATGATTCTATACTCACAACTGCTTGATTTAACTGAATTAATGTACAATAATGACATCACAAAATCCTGCTATAGCTTTTAGCATGAAAATCATTAAGTTAACAATGAAAAAATAGCTTTTTGCAATGAAATTATAAAGGTACTATATAGATTGCATGTGTTGAGCAAAAGTTTAAAATCAAACTTATTGCATCTGATGTTATATCATCGAAAACACCAATTATTGCAAGCTAAATTTTTTCTAGAGAAAAAAAAAGGTTTTCTTATGACATTGCAATTTACCCAGGACTGTTTAAAAAATATTTTTTTATATCACAATAAAAATAGAAAGTTATTTATGATATAGATAACCATCTATTCTTATTGTTTCTTCTTGACATGGTTAATAGCAAAGTGCACAAACCACAACAAAAAGAGTGAATTGTTGTACTCAAGATTAGGATAAAACTTCCAGCTTAATCTTAAGTAATGCTAAGCAAAATTGTTTAATATTGCAGGGTGTATAATTTCTAGAGTTTAAAATGAACTTTCATGGTTTGTTTTGAATCTCAAGGTTCTAAAAATAGAGTAAATACTGATTATACAATATTTAATAAAACTAACTATGCATTTTTTTACAAATTGAATTAATATTTAAATTATTTAAGCCATATCTTTTTTTACTGAAAGAATTGTAATGCTTTTAGAGAAACTTAATTGATGAACAAATTGAAAGTTTAGCTTTGTTTCAGAATTGGTAAGTTTAAAGCAGGACTATGTCGACAAAAGAACTATTTCTTTCATCTAAATACTTAATGTGAATGCACTTTAAAGCATAAAGATGCTTCTGAAAACTATATTCTCATATATATTAAATTTATTTGACTTGTTGGTTTAAAAAAGTTGACTAAACACAGATAGATTGGTATGAACTGTAAGCCCTTGCTGTGTGTTATGATGTCAAGTCTAGTCAAATCAGAGGCTTTGTAAATGGCCTCTGATTAGACATATATGCATGGAGGATCTCTGATAAGAGACCTCACCAGGGAATGCCCTGGCTAAGGGTCAGCACTGTAAGAGGTTAGTGTAATTAGCTGTTAGACATTGTAGTCATACCTTCAGGAATCCATGATGAATAAAACACCTGTGCATGAACAAATTTCTGATCTATGACTCAATAAACATAAGGAATCAGTGTACCAACCCATAACAACTCAGATTGTGTTCTGTGCATTCTGTGCTTGCCATGTTTGAAATGATGTTGAAAAATTGGAAAAAAAAAGAACGCTATTTTTCATAATTTTTCCATCAAAATGAGCCTTTTCCCCTGATTTTTCCAAAATTTAACCCAATTTCCATTATTATTATTATTTTTTTGTTGCAGATATCTGAATTCCCTGACTTTAAAAACAATTTAAAGCTATAGCTAAGTTTATGGCTTTAAATTAATTTAAACAAAAATTCCAATTTTTATGTTCAAACAAACCAAAAAAATTAAACATTCTTTTTAAGTAAAAGTTACTTAAAAATGTTTAATTAAAAAAAAAAATCAACATATATATAAAAATTATAAATTTATCAAAGATATGATGCATCCTATTGAACATACCTGTCTTAGTGTCCTAGCAACAAGTGCTTCCAAAACTGCACCACGATCATCATGAAGTAAATGAACTTCGTCAATTATAAGAAGCCTAACAATCTGAGATAACGCAACATCACTAAAACCTTTTCGTGTAACAACATCCCATTTCTCTGGAGTAGTCACTAACATCTGAATAAAAAATATTCTATATAAAAAACTTCTTTTAGTATCTGAACAAAAAATTACAGCTCATATTCTATATAAAAATATTTTAGAAAATTTTTTAATTTAAACTTTAATTATAAAAAGATTAAATTTTTAAATTTGTAAATTTAAAAATTTAATCTAAATTTCAATCTTATTTTAATTTCATTTAAATCTTTTGAAATTTAAATTTATAATCTAAATTTAAAAATAATATTATTTGGGAAAAAAACTCAAAAAATATATATAATACTAGTGACCTGAAAAAAAAATGACCTGGGTTTCTTGAATTTCTTTCTTTGTTAACTGCATGTCACCAGTCAACTCACGAACTACAATACCCAATGGTTGAAGCCGCTTGCCAAATGTTTCAGTCATTTCAGAAGCTAATGCTTTCATCGGAGCAACATAAACAATCTAATATTAATGCAATATACATGTCAAGAAATTTAAAAAATTTATCATTTCACAATTTTTTTATTCCTACATTAAATATGTAGCACAAGCCATCAAAATTTTTTTAACATTTATTTTTATAATCTAAATTATTTTTCATTTAAAGAACTCATGCCTTATCCACAAGATTTTCGATTAGAGAGATCACTGCTCATCTCATGAATGACCGAGATTTATCGCTTAACCCTACTATTACGTTGGGGTCCAAACGGACCCACGAGTAGATTGTTTTTGCATTATATATTTATGTAGTCAGTATTTTTTTTCAAAATTTCATGTATCTGTTAAATATAACAAGATGTACAAAGACTCAAAAATTTGTTTTTGGACATTGCTTCCTTTTTTAGTTATTTTTAAATAATACGTCTATGATGTTGGGGTCCATATGGACCCCAACATATTTTTTCTTATAAAATGTACAGTTTTTCAAAACTAATGCTTTTAAAAACTGTTTTTATTTTTTTTAGTTGAAACTTATTCAATCTTTTTCTTTGATATTTTCAGATAAATTAGATAAATTTAGATTTCATAACAAATATTAGAATTTATTGCTTAAAAAAAAAGAGTTTGAATTAGATACACTGCTGAACAGGCTATAGATACACTGCTGAACAAGCGATGCAAACAATAACTATTGTTTGCATTACTTAATAAAGATCAATTAAGTGAAGTAGAGTTAATATCTTGTGATAATAAAGAGAAAGAGGTTGAAGTAACATAATGATATAGCTGAGGAAATAAATCCAGGTAAAACTAATGTAATAGTATAAACTGAAGTCGAAGTTTGCTATATAACAAATTTTAATAAGTGCCCAAAAAGTAATATGTATGTATAAAAAAAGTAATATGTATTAAAAATATGGCAAAAACAAAGACTAAACAGTTCTAACTAATTTGCATCACAAAATGAAATTAATCATGTAAAAAAACAGGATTTACACCATATGCAATACGTATGACAGAATTGAAAAATACTGCTTTTCAACTTTTTTTTACCTCAAAAATCTTTATTATAGTTTTAACTAAATCAAAAAAATTAGGAAAAATTATTTTTAAAGAAAAGTGGGCACCGAAATTTGAGCATAAACTAAATAGACTTTTATTTTGGACATTTGGAGTAGTAACACAAAAACTTTTAGAGTTGTAATGATGCGAAAAAATGAAAAATATATTATATATATATAAAAATAATTATATAAAATAAAATATAAAAATATATTATATATGTATATATATATATATTATATACATATATAAATATATATACACATATATATATATATATATATATATACATATATATATATATATACATATATATATATATATATATATATATATATATATATATATATATATATATATATATATATATATATATATATATATATATATATATATGTATATATGTATATATGTATATATATATATAGATAAATATATATATATATATATATATATATATATATATATATATATATATATATATATATATATATATATATATATATATATATATATAATGCGGTAGTGGTGTAGTGGTAGAGCGCTCGCTTCATAAACGAGTGGTTCCGAGTTCGATCCCCACCACGTCCCTGGTAGTACCGCGCTCAACTCGTTTCTCTGCGCAGCGGCCTTGTTCGTCAAGGTTCGTGTTTCGGAGTTATAGAGTTGAGAGAGGGTTATAGCTACAAATAAGTAGCCTCCTCGTCTGTAGTGGCCTTCTCGGCCTTGAGAAGGTGAAATAAAATAAAAATATATATATATATATATATATATATATATATGTATATATATATATATATATATATATATATATATATATATATATATATATATATATATGTGTATATATATATTTATATATGTATATAATATATATATATACATATATATTATATACATATATAAATATATTAAAAACATAATTATATAACTGGGGTCCGTATGGACCCCAACGTAACAAGTGTAAGTTGATTAGCGACGGCATAGTAGGGTTAAATAAATCAGGTCTCATTTCAAATCCATATTATCACATAAAGAACTCAGGCCTTATTTCATAAATACATCAGATTTATAGCTTAAAGAGTTCACTCCTCATCTTAAAAATGTGTAAGATTTATCACTTAAAGAGCTCGCTAATCATTCTTTGGCCAGAAGACCTCAAAATGGTTGATTAGTTTCATTATTTAAAAGTTCAAAATCCTAATGAGACTAAAAAGTTTTTCTATCATTTTTAAAAATATGATAAATATCAACAGCTATTTTCTATTCTTGAAGTAAATACACAAATTTTTGCAGCAGTATTCAAAAAAGTTGTATTAAAACAAAGTCCATTAATTCAAATCCATAATCCCACTTAACTATAGTTTTTACAATAGCTTGTGTAATAATTGTTCTATAGTTAAGTTTTAAAACAGCAAGAAATACCATTACCATTGAACAGATTCAATGACAATGGCTGTATTTGACGATCAACTTGTTCAATTATCATTGAACAAGTTGATAAAAATAACAAACTGGAAATCTGCTATTTACTCTCATTTATTTTAAACCTATATAATCTTGTTTATTTCAAACCTATATAAATATTTTGTAAATACACAATGAAATACGTTAGTAATGTCATCAAAGAATAAGTTAAAGTTGAAACAAAATCACAAGCGGATCACAAGAAAAAATGCAAACTTTAGTTATTAGATAAATAAACTTTAATTTTATAGTGAATATAAGTTTTACTAGTATACTGTTTTTTATATAATATATTAGTAAAGAATTTTAGAAAGCTACAAGATTGCATTATAATAATAATATAATATAATATACAATACTGTTAAGATTTAATGCCAATGTATATCTTTTACAGACATAACAAGAAAGTTAAAGATTAAGTCTAGTTTAGCTTTAAATAAGTTGAGATTTTCAACTCCAACTGTTTCAATTGGTAAATTGTTCTAGAACTTGACTGTGCGATTTGTAAAAAAACCCTTACGATTTCGATTTAAATATTTCTTATTGATGAATAAATGATGTTTATCACCTTGAATGTTTGAACACGGACCTGAAGAATTTAAAGAGCATGAATGTTGAGGATGTATTTTCCATGTTATTTTCACTATATCACAATATCATTTGTACATTTGTATGAGATCTCCTCATATTCTTCATTGTTTTTGCTATATTGCAAATTCTATTTGTGGTTTCCATTTTAAGTCATTTGAAATTAATACTCCTAGATCCTTTACTAATTTAGATGTACTTAATTCTTGCTTTATATTATTGTTAGTAATGAAATATTTATAATTTTTATTTTTGCTACCAATATCCATGATTTTACATTTTTCAAAATTGAATTGCAATTTCCGGTTTATTACCCATTTTTCTAACATAGCAATGCCATTTTGTAAAGCATGTGCATCAGTTTCATTATTAACTTCAGCTATTACTTTACAATCATCTGCATACAACAACAATTGGTTTGTAAGTTGAATTTTCATTGATGATGACTTAGAAGATCAAGCACAGAACACCGCTTACTATGTCTACCCATGTTGATACACTTTCTTCAAGTACAACTCTTTGCTTCCTATCAGTTAAAAAAGAAATTATCCACTTCAATGACGTAGATGTAATGCCATATGCTTCAAGTTTTAGTGCTAATCTCCTATGTGAAACTTTGTCAAAAGCTTTTTTAAAATCAGTATAAAGGATATCAATCGATTTACCATTTGCAACACCTGTTGTTACTATATCCATGTACTCTAGGAGATTAGTTGTGCAACTTTTGCCTTTTGTAAAACCATGCTGATTAAAAAATAATAAATTATTAATCTTTAAATAATGTAAGAGTTAGTTAGATATTAACATTCTAAAGTTTTAAGAAGAATTGAGGTCAAGGAAACTGGCCTATAATTTGAAACTTTATTTCTACAGCCATTTTTAATCAGTGGTGTTATGTTTGTTGTTTTGAATGAATCCCATCTGGTCCAACTGATTTTTTTTTAGTTTATTGCATTTATATTAATAACTTTAGTTGAGATAATACTAACAAACTGTAGTGAATTTAAAAACTTTTTCTCAAATTTTGGTAAAATATCATCTTTATCTCCCATAAATACTGATTGAAAATATTCATTCAAAGTATCAGCGATCTGCTTTTGGTTCGTAATGATGCACAAACTAGAATCTTTAATTGATGTTATATAATTTTTAATTTTTCGTTTTCTGTTAATATAATTATGCAGCAGTTTTGGATTTGATTTTGTTTTTTTAGCTATGTATTTTTCATACTCTATTGTAGCTTTTTCAACTGGTTTACTTCTCGTTTTGCTTTATTATATTGGGACTTTTTTAAACTATTCGTCCATAAAGAAATTTTATTGATAGACCAGAGTTTTTTTTTTTTTTTTTTTTTATTTTATTTTAATTCACCTCCTCAAGGCTGAGAAGGCCACTACAGACGAGGAGGCTACTTATTTGTGGCTATAACCCTCTCTCAACTCTATAACTCCGAAACACGAACCTTGACGAACAAGGCCGCTGCGCGGAGAAACGAGTTGAGCGTGGTACTACCAGGGACGTGGTGGGGTCGAACTCCGAAGTTTATTCATCTTTTTGATATCAGTTATAATCTCTTTGATAAGAAATATTTTTCTGTTATTACGATTAAGTTTTATTAATGGAATAAACTTTTTACAAGCTGTTTGATAATGGCAATTGAAAATTTCACAACAATCGTTTATATTTTTGTTCAAGAAAAGAGTATTCCAATCTATTGAGTGTATATAGTTAGATAATTCAAGATAATTTCCCAATTGTAAATTTTTTTTAAAGGTGTTATTCTTGCTTACAAAAGTTTCATTTATAATGTATTGCCATGTTATTACGTGATGACCTTGATTTCTGTTACCTAAAGGAGCTCTATGTTAAATCCATTTGACTCTATTGACATTATTTACTAT